CAAAATGAGTCCCCCAGCCCCTCCCCTCCACCCACCACCACGAAAAGGTGAACGCACGTTAGGGGGGATAACATGTTCAACCTAGTTTATCTGTCTTAAACCTAGCCAATATATTAGCGGGTAAAGAATATAGTGATTGTCTCACAAATTTATTTGTTTTAGCCCCTAATTTAATACGGTGGCTGTTAATATAAATTGCCTGAATAGGGTCACATTATTGACTTTATTCTACTGAAGCTTTAAGCTTTAATTTCGATGAAGAATTTATATAACATTAAGCTTATCACAATGAATTTATTTAAATATTGTGCCTATTTTTTAAACGATTAAAATATACTAATTAAGTAAGTAAATACATACATTTATGAACGAAATATTTTAAATTAAATATATAGCTAATGGTATGTAGCGCCATCTTCTGTATTTTATTTCTATCTCGATTATTTTATTACATTTCCAAAGCTAGGTGTTTAACCTAGTTTTAAATATGTAAGATTTAAACTGAGTTATATAGGCATTTTAATTTATTTTTTACGACAATCTTACCTTATAACTTCGTGTTATAAATTTTAATGATAATGTGAATTAAAAATATTATATCGAGCAAAGCGTATTACACTCTTCAAGAGTTTCTTGTTGATGAAAATGTGTGGAATTGAGTAATATTGACTCATATGCGGGCTATCTATATGTTATATTAATAAAATACAAGTACAAAAAAAAACAAAAACACATTATACCTTTGTATCCGATTGGGATTCGAACCCGGACACCTAAGATTGTCAAAATTATGCCTTGGCCGCTTGACCATGATGGTTATGCTAGAGTGTGCGAAATTGTTGACCATAATAATGCGAAAGAAAACCGCATGAAAATTCGAAAACACGCGTTTTCGCAGTCATAAGACTAATCTAGATCGATTTCTCGCCCCCGAAACCCACTGTGTACTAAAATTCATAAAAATCGTTGGAGCCGTTTCCGATATTCAGATTATACTCGATATATACAAGAATTGCTCGTTTAAAGATATAAGATTATATAATCTGTGAATTAAATAAAGTTTAAATGTGCACCTAATGATTCACTAAATAATAATAATTATTAGTAATTAGATTAAGTTGGCTGTCCAATAGCCCACAACCCGCGGCCAGCTCAATGCCTCACCCAAGACGACAGCTAATGTTACACTACTAGTGGCTCACCCTTGCTTCGGTCGGGTTCGCCTCTACAAAAACAAAAACAAATTTATCCCTCGGGAACCGTATATATTCCGAGAATTTTTAGCCTATGTTTTATTCCAGACTATAATCTATCTCTGTCTCAAATTTCATCCAGGTCCGTTCAGCCGTTCTGGCGTAAAAAGGAACAAACAACATCCATACATACATTCTTACAAACTTTCGCGTTTATAATATTAGTAGGATTACATATACGCACATACATATATTAATGAAAAAGCGAGGTTAAATCGCTTATCTTTCTACTTTACTGATGATTAAACACTTGTTAAAATAACTTGGAAATTACTAATACAATTTATATGATTCACTTCTATTACAATATTATGTTAGCTAACACAGGCTTTACTTTATTCTTGCTTACGTTAGTTTGTCTTAAGTACGAGAAGAATCAAATTGAGCTGATGTGGGAAGACAAATATCCGTGCGTCGTGATTTCGAAGGAGTCGCGTAAATGAAGCGAGGTTATTTCAACAGTCCTACATGACTACGCAATTTTTAAACACGTTAAAGCAGTACCCACGAAATTGTTTATTACATTAGTCGTGGGTTCGATGCCTATCCATGATAAAGTTAAAAGAGAATGTTGCTTATTGCTATGCTTTATATTTGTCATAGAATGTATATGTGATACAATCTCTAATCGGACTTAAGTCCTCCAAAACAACATATCAAACCCATTGGAAGTTGTCAAGTTTAAGAGCTGAGTTTAATATTATCATCTTTTTTTATTTTTATCTCATTAAGAACTCAGTTAAAAACTCATTTTAAAGTTCTGAGTTATTTCAAATAACACTATTTTTATGACGTTCCAAATGCTTTACAGCAATCATGGTCACGGTAGGGACTGAAGTTCTAGATATCTCAAAGGCATTATATATTTGTTACAGACAAAACAAAAAATGGCACCAAAGTACCTTACAATATAATATGTTAATTTAAATTATAAACATTTTTATAATTTTAATAAATTTTATCATTGAATATGAAATATTATTTTTTAAATATTTATATTCTTGATTTGTTAAGTATATCTCGACTTGTTTAATAGATTTGTTTATTTGTTTAATTTCTTTAGAATTTAGATAGAATTGTTGTTTTTGTATATAACTATTTCATGCATATTTTGTACGCCTATTTTGTAATGCATTTAGCAATAAGAAATTTGTAAAATAACATAATTTATACTGTAATAATGTAATTACTACTGCTGAATCTTAATAAATAAATTAAAATAAAATTTTAGTTGCTAAATACGAAAAGATTTTAATTTAAAATGTCAAATATTCGCATTAATCTAATAAAGTATTAATATCATTTTGTTACACTTTTATCTCATTATGATCGCAGTTAAAATAACTCATTTTAAAGTTCGTTAAGCCGCAGTTTGTCAACGACAAACTTACAAGATAACTGATTATAGATGAAAAGGATAAAGCAAAGATTACTGCCTCCTCGAGCTTCATTATAAATAGAACTGAGTTTATCTTCATTAAACCCAATTTACGGTTGCCAGAATAAAAAATTGTCTTCCTGAAATGAAGATATTTATGGCATTTTCATTTAAATGGCTATAGCTCAGGGAAGTTATATTTGTTATTTTACCTACAGGTCGCAGGTTCGAATAGATCTGGGGTTGTTATAAAAAATATAACATACATTTATAAATAGTACATTAAACTCACTTTGAGTAATATAGAAATCGTAAAATACATATTTACCTATTAGATATTCATATCTTAAGTTATTGTAGGCTTGCACCGATTTCGAAAATATCTGATTAGGTTTCTTTTCTAAATGAAAACCTCCGTTTAGTTATTTTTTACATTTTAGTGTATATTACAGTTAATAATATTATAAACAGGCAAAATTTGTGTGTTAGTTTGTTTGAATGCGCTAATCTCAGAAACTACTAAACCGATTTGAAAAATTCTTTTTCCATTGGATAACCCGTTTATTGAGAAACGCTATATATCATAAAATATATAGTCTATCTATTCCATACTAACCGTAAAAATGAAATTATTAACTATTTAGTTACGTACCCGAGCGAAGTGAGAGTGAGTCTAGCTAGTGAGCTAGTTATATTATAATGTAGCAAACATACTTTCACATAATAAAATTGAAACGAAGCCGAATCTGCACATTAGATATTTTTTGGAAAATCTCATTGAAACCAACATTACTATCGATACAGAGGCCGAATTTATAGTTTTTAGAATTTTTGTCTGTCTGTCTTTTACCGCATCACAGAAAAACCATTGGAGGGATTTTGATGAAATTTGGTATGGTGATAGCTGGTTATCCGGGTCAATATATAAGATACTTTTACCGCGGGATAATATCTCATTTCTGAGAAAAAATACAAAACCTGCATAGTAAGATTATACTAATACTATGTAAAACTTGAGAATTTGGTTTTTGGTTATCTGAACGCGGGTGGAGCCGCGGGTAATGCTAGTATATTATAGATAAAGTATGAATAAACTACATCATTCAATGACCGTAATCTGTCCCCATACTATTTAGCGGTCAAGGCTAGTTAATAATAACCTTCTAAGCTAAATGCTTTTTATATCTTAGGCTTAAAGATCGTGTTAAGACAAAAGATCAAAGGCTGCCCCTTTAAAAGAGTATTTCTTGCAACGTTTCAAATAGATTAAATGCGAAATATAGTTTTTTCAATATAAAAAGTATTTAGGTCACGTAAAATAATACTGAACTGTTTATTTATGAATGTTATATGTTAGTTTTAACAGTGAATTTGTGGGATAGTAATAATTTTATTTCAAGATTTAATTTGTTCAATTGAAAACTTTTAATAACTCACATCTAGCGCATCTAGCGCATCTAGCGTTTGCTGTAAGGTTCTCGTTTGTATTTTTGTTAGATACTACTATGTAACGTCACTACTCTTTAACCAATTTTTTTAGATTAATATTAAATAATAAAAGATTTCTATATAAAATCAAATTCATAAGATAGAATTTGAATGAGAAAAAAAATGTCATGATGGCATATATTATGTACATATATGTATTTCAAGATTTCCAAAAAATTGGAATTCTGTATAAAAAATCTTTATGATAGTATTAATACTTTTTTCATCTTTAAAAAATTCTTCTTCAAAAATTTTCATCACGGAAAACGTTACGGGAAATTAAATAATAAAAAAACAATTAATTATAAAAAAGATAAAGTATAATCTATTAAAAGAAAATTATAAAATTTATTAATAATGAAATTATTAACTATTGGAAAATTATCTTTTTAAAAAAAAAAGTTCTTGCCAATTTTAAAGCCTTAGTATTAAAATTCTCTTTTAACAGAATAAAAAACATAAAACATATTCAAAATAAGTTACACTTCCTTAAAATATTAAACTTAACAAGACCTTATAAATAACACTTAATAAGACTAAAAATAGCAGCTATTTAAACTACCAATCCACAATCAAAACAGCAATAAATCTAGACACAAAAATTAATCTATCCCGTCAAAAATCACACGCTCTACAAAAGAAAAATCTTAATACCGAAATGCTAACAATGATTCCAGTGAAGGTCTGAACAAACTACATCTACACTATTTAGATACCTTATTCGCTGAAAAAGACGAACATATAAAACCTTTGCAGGTAGAAATGAAATAGAGCTACGTTATGTAGAGTCTCGTAGCTCTGCTACGCCAGTGTTATATTGTAGAGCGACCGCGTAGCACGTCTACGCCATTTTGTTTTTATAAGTCGTAAATATTTCGGTTATGAGTGAGTACTATATATTCTTTTGCGTGTATATTGTTATGTAAAAAAGTGGATAAATTTCTGACTGTAAAGCAAACGTACAATATCATAGTGAGAGACAATGCGAGTGGTTTCTACGGTTTGGAAGGTAATTTGTATTTAAATTTATGTTCATTTTGTGGGATTTATTTAAATTTTTAATTAAATTTGTTTTTTTTTATTAAACTAGATATACTTTTTCTATTATATAATAAAAACGCTTAGTTGTGATATCACTCACCAATAAAATTGTAATAAAAAGTTAGGTGAAAATGTTCAATTAATATTATATATAAAAACTAATAATACTTTTTTTTTAATTATATTATTTGAAAATTTAATAATTTCATATTATGTCCCAACATTAAATGAAATAAAATTTTAATTACTATTTTATTAATGTAATAAAAACAATTTATTTAGCTAAATTCATCATTAATATTTAAATGTCATTTTAGTGTTCAACAGATTTTTAGTTTAATATATTTCCTTAATAATGTATACAATATTTCTTATATATTATATATATTTTTAAAATATAAATAATTAAAGTCTACATCTTACTAAAAATATTTTGTTTATAAAATATTTTGGATAACTTAATCGACTATAAACACGAGACTAGGCTAGAATATAGCGAGACTACCTACATATTATGCAAATCTGTGTCACTGAAGACGTAACCCACATTGTTAACAATTTATATAAATAGAATAGTAGGATTATCACTGTAGTATAAATTGTTGTAACAAGAATATGTTTACATGTTAATTGAATTACTATTATAACTGCTGAAACTCCTTGACACCAAAATGGCTGGATGGATTTGGATGAAACTTAGTAGACAGATAGTATATGACCTGGAGTAACGTAAGCACTAAGGGAGGCATAAGCCAAGCAATGGTAAAACGCTAGCTTATTATAAGTATTGAATGCATAATAAAAACAGGACAGATTGCATATTTTTTTTACATCTAAAACTAGGAAAAAATATTTTATTATACATATTATATAGTGAAGATACATGTAATATATTTATATTTATGTCATTTTTATATGTATATTCTTATTTATTTGCATCTGTTAATAATTTTAATATATATTATATAAATTTTATAATAAAATAATAAAAAAAAATCTTTAATGGTCAGGAAAAAATATTAACAATTATTTATAATATTTTTCTATCAATATTAAAAATTAAAAAAAAATGTTAACTCGAAACAAATTACACATTTTTAATAGACTTCTATAAGAACTTTTCGAAATTTTTTTAATAGTTAAACATAATACATACATGCATTGCAATACCAGTATAAGTATATAAGTAAGCTACCACCAAGTTACTCGTAAAGTGCAGATCTGCTACGAATACTGGAACTCAATTAGCGTGGCTGGAGTATAATTTAAAAGAAACTATTTCTAATATTTCTTAACAACTTCTGTAAATTAATAGGCAAATAAAAAACAGTTCAATATTTAAAAAAAAATATTGGAAAAAGTTATAAATAGGTTTACCTATATTGGAAAACACATAAATAGAATTTATTCTATTTATGTGTTTTCCAAAAAATTATCCATAATGATTATGGTAGGAAATATGAACAATATGAGTGAACTAGTACAAATGAAGAAAGGGAGCTTTTGTATTTTATGATGTATTCGAATAAATAAAGTATAATTAAAATCTGACTTATTATACAGCGCAATTAAACAGATAACCAAAAATAGACCCACAATAGACAAGAAAATAAACATTACAAAGTTACGCAAATAAAATGATTTGGCTTCTACCAAAAAAAAATCTATCGACTTCAACAGACAAATAATTTTTTTTTTCGGAAGTCGGTTGAAAATTACTTTCAACTAGAAAACTATCAATTTTAAATCACTTAAAATATTATTGCACCCTTAAATTGGCAATTTTTCTCAGAATTTAACACCATCTTAAATATTAAAAATAAAGCCATATATAAATCGTTTCATAATTAGCACATAGAAGATATCGTGTAACATACAGTCTAAGACCTACCTCTTTTCTTCTAAATTCGGTAAAAAATAGAAGGCATGACGTAATTTCTGTAAATTTGGTTAAGCCATTACGTGAACCCGTTGTCAAGCATAATAAACGTATAGTACGATTAGCCGCAGGAATTGACGTTGATAGCCAAAATGTTGCCACGACATGTTAAGTAGAGACACATTTGAGCTCTATATTCTGTATAGATTAGATAATTGCTTGGGTGTAAATGACTGGCTTTAATTATATCGTATTCAGCTCTTTCTTTGACTTAACAAATTTTGATAAAACTTTAAGAATAATTTCTAATAAAAATTTCAATCATTTGATTAAAATTATTTATATATTTTACGATCCTATTTGCTTTATAAAAAGCAGGCATTTGTTGGGAGTGACTAAATAAACAGTAAAAGGTAGTACGTTAATTTGTTGAAAATGTAAATAGGAAATTACGAGCCCGCCTGGGCTTCGCAAGGGTAAAGAGGCATACTGTATAACTTTATACATAAACAAACATACAACTGTGTTACTTCCTAGTTATACTCGTACCACCATATTGGAACGAATAAATCACGACTTAACACGGTCGTTTAACCAAAATTGTCTGAGAGCGTCCACACTATACAAGTGTAAGCATAGCTATATATACTAGCGACTCACCCTTGCTTCTCTCTCTTGCGTCTTTATGTGATTTTTGTATATATAAAATTACTAGCAGAACCCGCGGCTTCGCTCACTCTAAAACAACAAAAAAAAAACTAAAAAGCTAGGTTTCATACAAACTTTCTTCCCCTGTTTTGCTCCTTATAGGATGAATTTAGAAAAATGCGAAAATATAGATTTATTTAATTGTATTGAAGAGCATTAATACCAAGTTTCAAGTAATTCTGGTCATAAATATTTTTTGGATTGTATTATAACGTGTTTTCCCGTGAGTACGAGATAATCTCTCGCGGTTAAAAACTTATATCACTCTCCAGCCCTCCAGCTATCACCACACAAAAAATCACGCCAATCCGTCGCTCCGTTTCGACGTGAAAGATGGACAAACAAACAAACAAACAAACAAACAAATACACTTTCACATTTGTAATAATAGTATGGATATATAAGTAGTGCCACCTTTTGGCAAGTTTTGTTAATAACAGTAGTCTATATGTTACTCCAAGTGATTATCTATCTGCATTTTCATTCAAAGATTTCATCTAAATTCCATTTCCATTTTTTTCCATAAAGTAACAAATACACACATAAACGAGCTTTTGCATTTACTCGTATAATAATAATTTACATATTATGTATATACATATTATGTAATAGCATTGCCCGCGGTTCCGCCTGCGTTCAGATGACGAAAAACCAAATCCTTAGCTTTTACATATTAGTATATTCTTACATTGCAGTTTTTGTATTTTTCTCAGAAATGAGATATTTTCCCGAGGTAAAAAGTATCCTAAATGTTGAACCGGATAACCAGCTATCACCATACCAAATTTCATCAAAATCCCTCCAGTGGTTTGTTGGTTGGTAACAGACAGACATAAAGACAGACAAACAGGCAGACAGACAAAAATTCTAAAAACTATAGATTCGGCCTCTGTATCGATAATAATAACTATTTCAATAATATTTTCCAAAAAATATCTAATGTACAGATTCGGCTTCGTTACAAATTTTTTATATGGATAGAATACCGACTTACGTAACTGTTGTATTCTATGTAATATCATGATTTATCAGAAGCAACTTGGGCGACTCCTTATCTTGCTTCATCGTTATTATATGGATAATATAATATTTCATTCATAGATTAACTGAAAGACAAACTTATATATATATATATATATATATATATATATATATATATATATATATATATATGCTTTGTTACGTACCTAGATACGTACTTGGCCGAAGCGAACGTACTTAGATAGTTTTATTTAATGTTTGTCTTTCAGTTAATCTATGAAATATTATATTCTCCATATAATAATATATATATATATATATATGTAACTCCAGGTTCCATTCTATCTCAATCTGTGCTATAAATGTCATCTGAATCTGTTTAGCCGTTTCAACATCAAGGAGTAACAAACATACATGCAAACTTTCGTATTCATAATAGCAGCCCTACGGCTTTTTAGAATAAAAAAAATCTTTTTTGAAGTACATTAAATACAATGTGGGCAATAAACCCACAACTTCTCACGTAGACACTACGCCAACATACCGAACCAACTGCCAATATACCGAATGCTCATCAAAATTGTACTTTTAGCTCAGTAAAACAACAAAAATTTTTAGACTCCATACATTACGGTATAATGGTTCAAAAATACAGTACAGAACAAATGACTTCGAAGTAAATGGACCGTATGGAAAATCGGCAGATCGTTTTAAAAATACTGGCGGTGTTTTCTCTTATATATAAAAAATAGGAATTGTATGTTTGTTAAAGTAAAATATTGTTATATTTTATAAGAAGTTTTCTATATTATCTACTAGCGTTTTCTTGCGGCTGCGTCTTTTAAATTTGCAGAACTACTCCGCACTAGTAGATCATGATGTTTTGAGATATAAAGTAGAAAATGGGCTATTAAACGCAAAATTTTTTTTTTAAATCAGACTAGTATATCCAGAGATTAGCGCTTTGAAATGAACAAACTATTCAGTTTTATATAATATGTATTTGTATAGATTTAATCGTTAAATCTAAAATAAAATATTCATTCAGATATCATTAGTTCATTTAAACATAAAGAGGAAGATTAGTAAGTAGAAAAATCAAATATTTATATTCCTAAACATTTTATAGAAATACAATTGCTCGAAAGATTGAGATAAAGTAACAAATAAATAAATAAAATCACTTTCACTTTTTTAGTAATGTTTAAATTATTTTTTGTTAAAATTAAATACTTGCGTTTTAACGTTTAGTATAGATTTCTCAGAGGTGAGATATTTTCCCGCAGTAAAAAATATCCTATATGTTGACCAGGATCAGAACCAGCTATCATCGTACTAAATTTCATTAAAATCCCTCCAGTGATTTTTCCGTAATGCGGTCACAGACAAACAGAGAAAAA